AGGAAAACTGCAGCTGACATTTGTGTAGGGTTCCTTCTCTTCATTGATAAAGACTGACAGCTCAGAGGGTTCATCCACTCATTGTGACATTAAAGGCTCTGCAGTGATTGTAGAACTTGCTGCTTGCTGCCGTCGGTTTTGCAGTTAGAACTCTGATGGTGTCATGTTGGTGAAAACATCACATCTTTCAGATCTTTAGCCTGGGCTGCGTTTTTTTTGCAGAAAGCTTAGCTTAGCTTTTATCTTGTGGGATTTTGTTTCCTAGCAACAGTTGATAACTCCAGTGTCAAGGTGATGCAGAGAGAAGCAGAAAGTAGAAACACCAACCACAGATTGCAGATACAACATAGGTGTAGCCTCCGGGTCTGAAACGTGAGGCCTGCACAGGAGTGCTTTAACCTCCTAGGACCTGGCATCCACATATGTGGACATCACATTTTGGGTTATTTAGACCAAAGTACTCAATTTTGCTGTACAGGGGCCTGATATCCACTTACGAGGACATTATACTGCTACTGTTCTATCGAAATTTTAAACGAATATCCTCATATGTGGCTCTCATTTTTCTTAGAAACAAAAATTAAGTAAAAAAAAAAATCTGGTAATTCTTTGTTTTTACATTCAAGAGGACCCAATCAGCCCAACTATCAAAGAGAAATTAAAAATGCATGCCGTGGAAGAGTTTGGGTCTTAGGAGGTCAAACCTGCATTGTTCATTATAACAGCCAGCAGGGGGCAACTCCTCTGGTTGCAAGAACATGTTTAACTTTGTAAAATCTGTGGGAAAATTACCTATAAGCCCACATGGTTTATGACTTCAGTAAACACTTTAATGATTCATTTATGGCCCAAATCGCTAGTTTAAGGTCTTATTTAATAAAAAATGTTCCTCATTTTGTAAATTATGATGCAACAGTGAGAAATACAGATGATAAAGCAGAGAAATGCAAACAAAGGTCAGTCCATGTTTATGCTATGCTAAACTAACCGTGTACTGGAAGAGCTTCATATTCAACATAAACAAATAAGAGTGTCAAAAGCATCTTGTGCAAGTGTCAAATGTTGGACAGTATTAATACGATTCATTTCAAACTTATTTATTTAGCATCAATTCTCAATTAAGTCACCTCAGGGTGCTTTTATGTTATAAAGACCCTATGTTATTAGAATGAACTCGATAAATAAGCCAATCCTGGAAAAACAGACACTTGGTGAAAGTGGGGAGGAAGAACTCCGTTTTTAATTAAAGGAAGGAACCTGCAGCAGGGACAGTGAGAGGAAGGTATCGGCTGCAACAGTTGAAAGCTGGGTCTGCAGCTGGAATAAAGCAGTTTCCAATGAAAGAGTTCAGTTTAAAAGCTTGATGTCAGAGCATCAGGTCAGCAGCACAACCAGGGGGATGCTGTTGTGTTTTACTGACATTCACAAGGTTCTGCAACATGAGTTTGTCAGACTGAAATGTTCTTGATTGTTTGAGAGAGAAGGCTTAGCAGAAATGACCTTAACTGTGGAAACTCTTGGCCACACAAACACAATCTTTACCTCCTACCTCCCTGTGAGTTCATCTATTTCCCCAAAATAAAAACAAAGTGGATGTTTTACAAAAGCAAAAGGATAAAGAGCAGCTCATGAAACCATCTGAAGGTGAACAAGAAGACGACCTTAAACGGGGGATTGGCCAAATCTTGAACTTGTTGAACTCTCCTCTTTCTGAGTAAATCCCTCACTTTGATGAGCTGTTTCCACATCACTGCATCCACTTACTGTGCAGGTTTCGTATCCATCTCATACCACAGGACCAGCATTCATTTTAGAGTTGTGCTTCTTCTTCCGTCATATTTAGATTTTCTTTTATTGAGGTCTTGACTTTTGTTTGTATTTTCTGTTTAATTGATACCCTACCTTACCTTTCTGAGTTGTTGTTACCTTTCTGATAGTTTCAGCCAAATAATGAGTTGTTTCTTATTATTTGATCATTTCTCATCTTATGGGATAAATAAAGTGTTTTTTATCTTGTTGTAGGTTTATGAAGCTGTGCCGACTGTTCCTGAAATTCAGCTGCCAGCGATTCAGCCCAATTACAGACCTCTGCCCTCCATTGACATCACACCGCTGTCCCCTCAGAGACGCAAAGGTAAGGCCCTCGCCCCCAATATCAAAACTTCTTCATTATGTTATTTCTCCTTTAACTGCTATGAGAACACCAAACTCTGGCATCAAAAAGGTGAACCCTTCCATGAGTCTTTCTGTGCCTGTATTTGTGCATAAATTAAGCGCCTTAAAATGTTTTCTTTCTTTTTTTAAGTGGTTGTTGTTCTAACTTAGAAACAAATACTTTTAGTTAACTTTGTGACATAACGTCTCACTTCATGCAGAAACTTGAGTGCAGTTGTGGCTGAGGAGCAGGTGAAGAGAAGAACCGCTTCTGACTGAATGACAGATGCTTTCTAGACTTTTCTTTCCTCATTCTGTATCTTTGCACTTCTGAATCAGGTCACAAATGTACCTGCGAGCAATTTCTCGCATTCGTGCACATTGCGATCTGATCTGGATTTTCTTGCCAGCATCAGCATATCTGCAAACATTCTTCCTCATCCTCTACATTGAGGCTCGCTCTGACGTTCGCTCGCTTCACTTTCAGTTCCTGTGTGCAATGAAGAGGAGGATGCAGGCTTCACGGGGAAGCGGTTTAACTCCAAGATGGTGGTCTACTCAGGATCGAAGACCGCCTACCTGCCCAAGATGATGACGCTGTACGAGCAATGCATCCGTGTCCTGCAGAACAACATCGACTGTGAGTGGATACGCAGTATTTTTCTCAGTCTCTGAGCCTCCCTGCAGGGGGCAACAAGGGCCTGATGATGCCACGGAGTTTGACCATGGATGAGAGGAGTTTAATTTTATCTAAAGTGTAGAATAGCATGTCGTTTTTGAAGTTTAATTTCTGTGTTTTACTTTTATTTCTCTGCCTGCTGCTTTTAAACAACTGCAGGATTTTACGTTTTAGAGTTTTTAGTTTCATCACAGAGGTATGTGATTGGTTTGATCTGTTTCCCTGTTTGTTAGCAGGATTATTCAGATAGTGATGGACTGATTTGCAGGATAATTTTAGCAATGTAGGTCTGGGCCCACCTTGGAACAGAATAGATTTTGGAGTCGGTACAGTTTCAGATCAGGGTTAGCTTTTGTGTATTGAGAAGTTTAGTTTCTCTTTCTCTTTACGATAACTCTAATAACCTTGCCAGAGACTAAGTTCATGAATAGCGTGGGGGCAATTTCATAGCCTTGAAGGTGCTATTGTTTTGCTCTTCACTCACTGTGATGGTCTGTGTAGGTACCAGGTGATCAGAGTTCACAACAAAGGATAAAAGTACAGCAGAAAGTCTTTCAAAGTCAGTATCTACTCATCTGTGGTCCTTGCCTGAACTCCACCCAACTGCTTTTTGTGTTGTCGAATAGGAACGTGTCTACAGTCTGCAACTGTGCATACACATGAACAAAAAGTGTAATCCCACCCTGACGATACCTCTCTGCTCTTTCAGCGATCGCCGAGGTGGGAGGAGTGCCGTTCGATATCCTGGAGCCGGTTCTGGAGAGATGCACCCCAGAGCAGCTGTACCGCATCGAGCAGAGCAACCAGGTAACATGTCAGACTTCAGTGAACCTTTTAATGTTAAAACTTAATCTGAGGAAGGAAGGAGCGAGGAATCGAAAAATGTTCTTAAATCCAGTGTCATGGTTTATAAATGAAAACATAGCCACAAAAATAGCTAAAACGTCCACATTGACCTCTTTGATTTTTATCCTTCAGCCATAAAAGACTGATGGGATATTTTTGTCACCCCGTTGTACCGGTAGGTGAGCGACGTGGACACCCAGGTTTGTGAATGCGATAACTCGAGAACGAGGCGATGTAAGAGTTTCAGATTGATATCACAGGTGTATCTACTGGGAGGCTGAGTGCTAGAATTGGTGGCCACCGGTATTTTTATAAGAAGTGAAAAATCTAGAGAATTTTCACTTCTTATTTTATTCCAGTGAAATAGAATTAAAAGCACAAGCTGCAAAAGTTTTGTTTTCACAATAGAAATATAAGATGGATGAATTTTTTAGCATCATTTGCTTTCTTTTTCCAAACTTTGTTAAAAACTATCAAGCTGTATTTTATGAAACTTAGGAGGATGAACTCTGAATGGCTGCTACACATGCAACGACTTTTACAAGCAGAGCAGTTATTCGTCATTAAAGTCGTTCTGTCTGGCGCAAGTTTACAGCTTTCCAGAAAATATTATAAAATATAAAGTTTGGATGTTGAGAAAGTTGTATTAATGTCACTTTTTGTCATGGGTATACGTCCCTTTTTGAAGATTCTTCTCGCCTCCTTTTAGTGGTTCACGGAGGAATCGGACGAGCTGTGGATGCGTCACTGTCGGCGCGACTTCAAGCGGGAGTCTCCGCAGGAGTACGAGTCATGGAGGGAGTTGTACCTGAGGCTGCACGACGAGCGCGAGGAGCGATTAAGGATGCTCACACAAAATATCACGTCTGCGCATGCCAACAAACCCAAAGGTGGGACGAGCTTTTGCAGTTACAGCGCAAAAAAAAAAGCTTTTTGGGATTTTCTGTTTGTTTCTGTAGATTGTAGATGATTCATGATGACTTTTTTATATTTTTAAGGCTGTTGAGTGTTTGATGAGAGTGTTGTTTCCTCTAACAGGACGTCAGGTTAAGATGGCGTACGTTAACTCTGTCGCCAAGCCGCCCCGTGATGTTCGCCGCCGACAGGAGAAGTTTGGAACCACCAGTGGTTCGACAGCCAGCTCCACAGCAGCTGCAGCTCCTATCAAGTGAGTACAGAATAAGATCAGGAGGAAAACTGAGAGGATGTTCAGAGATTTCCTGATAAATATCACAGACTGAGTTTTAAATCACGAGGAGGAAGATCTTCTCTATCGATGCACACGGCTGCAGACAGAGCTGTGTAGGGTTTTTTTTTAATATTCACCACAGTGGCTTTCTTCCTGTCCTTCAGAATAAGACCGGCTACCACTGACTACTCCGGAGAATCAAGCCAGTCGTCTTCCTCCCAAAACAACCCTCCTCCCGCTGGTTCATCCCGCTTCTCTGCACCGAGCGGAGCAGGACACGCCGCCCGGGAAAAACCTCAAGTCAAAAGTAAGTCTCGCTGAAAGCACCATTGAGGATTTCTTTTTTTCTGTGTCTTTAATCTAACAAATCACTTCTTCCTGTTTCCTTCTTCCCCACAGAAATCGCCCCCATGATGGCCAAAACTATCAAAGCATTCAAGAACAGATTCTCCCGCCGGTAGTGTGAAAGAGACTGAATGTATTTTATGTGATTTTAATTACAGTGTAGCGGAACTGGACTGGAAACCCTCCAACCCTGCGCGCACACTTTCAGCCCCGCAAACACATCACATGAACTTTGCAGTATTTGTGGAAAAATGGTTAACTTCCTTTTTTTTCTTTGTTTTTTTTTGTGGGGGTGGGTTGATGTTTTTTTTTTCTGTGGTGACGTCTGTTTTGCGGGTCTTAAATTAAGTATTTAAATCCTAAACGATGGTACACATGGTAGAAGGACACACACAAACACAGTCAGTCTGTTACTGAATCATGTTTTCCAGCAGACGGTTTTTAAAGAAAGAGTTTTTGGGGGAATTCTTGCTGCGAGGTTAGATTAGAGGATTTTTCTATCGCTTTCTCCGGCAGCACAAAGACTGGAAAGAGGGGAGCAGCTCGTTTTCAGCTGTAACAAAATCAGCCCCAACAGAACCTTTAATTGTCATTAATTAACATGTACATTTGTACACAGCCAAAACGTGCACAAAAAATTTGTGACTTTTTAAAAAGTTTGCCTCAAACCTGCATTCTTTCTAATGGCCAGTAGAGGGCGTCTCTGAAATTATATTGTATAGAAGTCCAGGAGTAAATTCTTCTAATGTGATCCGTAAACTCAGTTAACATTTTCCTGAAGAGTTTATGGACTCAGCTGCTAATTTTAAGTCTTAATCAATGAAAAATAAAGTTAATGCTGTAAATTATTTTTGCTAAATAATTTAAATTATTTGTGGGTGGACAAGTCACTATGTTAGCCACCCGAGTTTTAAAACTCTCAACTCAGTGCTCCACTAACCAGTGGGTGATGTCATGATGGCCACATCCAGCTTTTATATACAGTCTGTGACTAATTGCACTAATCAATTTGTTTCAAATTTTCATTTTTTTTTTAACCCCTCACCTGTAAAAGGCTGACAGTGTACTGTCATCACTTGGGTGGCAGGGAGGGCAGTGTAGGATTTTGAAATTGATAGCATCGGTGCATCTACTAAAAATCTCAGATGATTTTAAATCTCAGTGACCTCGACCTCAAGGTCAGGGCTAGAGGTCAAGTGTATGAATGTGATAGCTCAAGAAGGAACTCACCTAGGATTTTCACATTTATAGCGTAAGTGCAGTATTTTTACTGCTGTGACGGTAGACTTGACATGCAAAATGTTAATATTTATGCTTGATTTTCTCTTTTCATAACAATTAAAGAGATTACATTTGTTAAACAATGAACTTAAACGTTTGTTTTTCTCCCTTGTTTCCTGTCTTTGTGCCAAGCCAAGCGGTTCATATTTATCATGTGAAAGATGATAGTTTTATCTGTCTTCTAATCAAACTAGTAATGAGCATATTTCCCAAAGTGCGAATCTTTTCCTTGTAAGGGACAGAAAAAGGGCTCTTATTTTAAAAACAGTCAGCTGTTGTTTCTCCTCATGACCAAATGATACACTACAGTGGGAAACTTTTACACTTTTACTCTTGTTTTGTCTCTTGATCGCATGCACCGTGCACGTCCCGACACCCGAGACATCAGCTGGATGGTGGGGGACTTTAATCATGTTTTGCCTGGTGCATTTAAAAAAAATGTGTTTGGCTAAGATGAAAGCACAGCAGAGCGTGCGGCGTCGTAGACTTACTTTAACCCTCCTGTGGCTTCAATTCATGTTTCCCTGCTGTCGAATGTGTGCTTCCCTGTTTTTATCTGCTTCACTGTGACAAACTGATTGAGTGAGGAGAGATTTGGAAAAAGAAACATAAGTTGTCTGCAGCTGCAGTCCATGATGATGATGATGATGATGAAATGTATTTATTTTCAACACTGGGACCTGGCACCCCACAACATGGGCCTGAATGGAAGTAGATTACAAATTGTAATTTTATTAGATTTTAATAAATGTTATATGGTCATTTTTATTAAAATTGACTTTTTTCCCTGAAGCTGTTTGTGTGGGTGTCTCTTTGTCACTCAGAAAGTCTGCAGTGCAGGAGGTTTATAGAAGTGATCCATCTTACCAAAACTACCTTATAATAACATAAATCTGTATATTTTTTTCTATTGTTATTATTCTTAACGGCCAGCATCACTTTTAGTAGTTCAGCAATCGCTGAGCGTTTTACACGGCTCAACATGACTAAATGAATGAGAGACAGAAACGTTTTGTTTAACAGCTATTAAAAAAACTGAAGCAGGAGCCTCCTTTATTTTTGTTTTTAACCTGTATAATAGTCACTTTCTTTTACACATAACTTTTCCAGATTCCTTGTAATGAACGTGTTTTTGATATGAGCACATCATTAAAACCAGGTTTTTGTACATTTTGCTTTATGCTGATGTCGCTTTTATTTTTATGTGACACTTGTAAACAGTTTGCGACACTGCCGACGTTTGGTGGTAAAACTCGTGAGCCAATCTGAGAGCACATCGCTTGTGTTTTCCTCTTCGCGTCGTAAAGTGGCTACATTGTAGCAGATGACAATTTCTGTGGGGACCTTTTTCTTTTCAAAATAAAGTGTCTTGAAAACTCATAAGTTCCATTGAAAAAGCTCTGTTTGCGAGGGAAAGCTGAACTAACTGAATATACCAACCATTTCTTTTCTTCAAACTAAGACTAACCCTTTCTTTAATAACAGTCAAAATCAAAGGATCCAGATTCACATCACCATGCTAATAATCTACAAGTTCAATTAAATAATCATTTTACTTTTAAGGATCTTTATTACTGGGCCACAATATATGGACATGCAACACATTAGATATCTTCTCACCTACAAAATGTACAATGAACAGTCTGAAGCACAAATGAAGCATTTGAATTAAATTCCAAAGGCTTTTATTCTGTTCACCGCATTTTAATTTTAAAATTAGCCATTTTTTTAAAACTTCTCAGTCTTTTAAGTCTCAGCTGCTTAATTTGATGTTTTTCCACGTGATTATTAGTAATTTAACGGTTGGGAAGGGGAATTTGGTCTGAATGCACGAAAGGAATCTGAAATAATTCAGTGCAAAAAGTTTTGGTTTTTTTGGATGTTGAATTCACTGCAGTGATGATAATGAACTGTGGAAAAGACACGCACAGACTGCTCATTCTGGAAAGGTTAGACCTTATTTCAAATTTACAGAAAGACAAAGTTACTGCTTAGAATGAGAAGGATCAGTCAAAAAACGAATAAGAAACAATTTTTAATGGTAATCAATGTGAGACAGGTGATTTCAATCACACGACCAAGGTGCACATGAGCTAATCAGTGAGTTTGAAAAAAAATTAAAGGAGAAGTAAAGGTGTAAAAAAAAAAAAGTACTTAATAGATTTTTTCAGGTTTTAAGGGTTTTTTTTCCACTGAGTGATAAATAATACTAAACCACGTTTCGAATTGACGCAAACCTTTGAAGTTTTATTTTGAAATTCTTGCACCGGAAGTTACCTCGTGACTTCACGTAACTTGACGCAGACGTCACTACACGCTTCCAAGTGAAACTTGCTGAGCTCATTTCACTTTATAAAAACACTCCAGCGTGAACGCTACGTTTTATTTCTACCCGGAGTGATTAACAGAAACCGGCCACGATGTCCGGACACGGTCATGGTCACGGGCACGGATGCGGGTGTGAGGGTGAGCACGAGCCCGCGGAGAGGGGCCTGGAGTACGGACTGTATCAGAAGATCGACCTGGAGAAGCTGCAGTGTCTCAACGAGAGCCGGGACGGAGACGGCAAGCTGGTGTTCAAACCGTGGGACCAGCGGAACGACCGGGACAAGGTAACGCCTCTCCCCCGGGCAGGTGTCCAGGTAGAGCGCACGCTGCGGAGCTGCGCAATATCCAAACTAAACTTTACCGAGCTTTGAGGTGCAGGTTTAGCCTGGTCATGGAGTCAGCAGCTTGACTTCAAGTCCTGTAACTTTACTAGATATTGATCTATGAAGGTAAAGTATTGATTTGTAATTGGTTTGTAAATGGGTCCACCAGGAGCAGGGCAGCAAACACGCGCAAAAGACAGTGATAGAAACAAAATGGTTATAAAGAGAGAAAAAAACATTATCACAAAGTGATCACAATAAGAGAAAACGACCACAGAATTGCCTTAAAGAGAGAGAGAGAGAGCATCAAAAATGGTTAGAATTAAACAACAAAAAGACATAAAATGACCAAAGAGGTACATAAATTATCCACAAATAAAGCGTCAAATTAGCACATAAAACCATTATATGATCACAGAAGACTCGCATAAATTTAAAAAAAAAAAAAAACGCAGAAGAATGTCAAATGACCACAGAGACATATAATGTGACCCCCGAGCAAAAAAATTGAAATGCAAAGAACAACCACAAAAAGAAGCTCCAAGTTGCCTTAACGTAGGACAGAATAACATTATGACCATTATAAGCAAAATCGGATGCGTAGTGACTTCAAAATATCCAAAGTAAAAACAAAAGAAGTGAATAGAGGTTCAAAGCAATCACAGGTATTTATAAAATGACCAAAGAGTGAAACTTGACCACAGAAATACCTTTAAAAACAGAGAGAAAATGGTTACCACAAAATGACCACAGTGTCCACAAATAATCAAAGTAATGGGTAAAGCAACCAAACTGAGACGTAAAACAATCAGTGATCGGTAAAGTGAGCACAAAAGTCAGAAACAAGACTCAAAGCACCTGCACAGAGACGCAAGAAATTACCAAAAAGACACTCGAAATAACCACGAATTTACTTAAATGGCCTCAAACAATCAAAGTAAGATACAACATGACCAACATGACAGGATCACAAAAGTGCAAAATAACCATAAATGACCAAAGTCAGGCATGAAATTACTGCAGAGAGCAGCAGAAAAAAATATCACCAAAACTGGACCCAAATTGACCTGTCAAGTCAACAGTCAAGGACCCAAATCTGCAGCTGAGGGGTTTCAATGTTTTCAGTCTTTTAAGAAGTCGAGAATAAATGTGGGGGAAAAAACTGTATATTTTTCACCACAGTTAACTGATCGTATTTGGAGGTTTTTTCAAAAGGACATTTTAAAAATCATGAAAGGTGATTTTAAAAAAAATTGTTTTCTGAAACAATCACAAAATGAGTCACATTTAAATGGAAAACACCTTGAAGTCTGAGAATTTCTCAACAGGGACTTTAATGAAACCTCCCACACAGTCTTACAGATCCAAAAACACTGTTGTTGACTTCAGATATGTAATATTTTCATATGTCATTTATAAAATATTTTTTTAAATAAGCCACATTTGACTCTGTGAGCTTCACAAGAAGCCTCGGGACAGCTGAGGAGGGATCAGCCGACCTGCTTTGTGAATATTGTTGTTTATGATTTTACACGTCCCACGGAGCTGTCTGCTTTTTTTTTTCACCTGAGCACAGTTTCAGTATGAGACATTGTTGTGTCCGCTTTAATTTTAGTGAAGCTCTTAATCAGAACTGGTGATGTCATATCAAACGCAAACATCTGCGGCTGCCTCTGTGTTCTGTAACCATGACGCCTTGTTTTTCTGCTTGTAGTTTGTGGACAGTGACGCAGATGAAGAGCTGCTGTTCAACATACCGTAAGTCCCAAAATGATAATCATCATCATCACCATGCCTGTTCTTCTATTTCTGTATGACACAAAAAACACTGTATGCGTCTCAATGTGATTTAGTGTAT